TACTCTCTCTGATTAAGTTTTTGCCCCACTGTCTTTAATGAGAGGCATTGTCAGGTGGCCGCATTGGTTACTAGTGGATCCTCGGCATCACTCAAATATTATTACATCCATGATTATCGATAAAAAGATACTGGCGCAAAAGGTTCTTTGACAAGGTTAAAATTTGCCCTGCAAAAATTCGTCTGAAAACGTTAGTGGATGAGCCTTAACTATGGAAAAAAGAATGTTTTTTCCAGTAACTAAAGGTGAGGAGAGAAATAAGTAATGTTTTCCGAAGGACCAGCTTATAATGAGTTCCCTGTCGATAATACGCAAATGATTACGCACGCTTCAGTCAGTAATGATCTGGTCAATTATTGGAGTCATCAGACCAATTCTTATGCGATAAATTTGCAACCAATGCCACCAACGTTAGTTACTTTAGAATTTCATTCACGAGAGATTTAAACTTCTCATATGTAAATATAATACGTGAGATAGAATCGGTGTTATCGGATGACTTTTTTATTGTAAAATGGGTATGAATAAAATATGTTTGATTGATTGATTAAGCATTGGAAAACATGATATTTGCTAATAGAAAAGGAGAAATGCTATCTGGTTGCTGGAAAAAGTCACTGGAGAAAATAGTGGAAGCCTAAGGCCTCAATATTTGATAATTTTAAGTATCGAAAATTTACATCTCGAGTTGACTGATTAGTGAGAAGATGAAAGAAAGAAATTTTGTGATATTTTCATGTTGCAGATTTACCCCTATACAATCTGTTCCACTAGTTGATGATGATTATAATGGATCAATGCCAACCATATCGTCATCCACCTATCCAGTTGCCGTATCTGCAGCAACTGTTTCAGGTGGTGATGTCATGGAAATAGGAAAAGTATGTTTTTGCTTCTAAATTCAGGCTTTTTGCATAGCGAATCTATTGTCTAACGAGGAATTGAAATATACTTTAATTTTATAATTTTCCAGTCTTTAATTATAAAATTATAAAAGCTATCAGATCGCTTTATTCATTATTTCTAGATATATCAGCATAACGAAACAAATCCAGCAATAGCAACGGCACCTGCTATGTATCCTCCACCGCATAATGCATGGAACACTTATTTGCCCACTTATATGCCTCAAGTATGTACATTTTCTTAAATAAATAAAGGGTTCTCTCAAGTTAAAATTACAGTTTAATTTAAATTGACATTTGTGAATTATGTGAAATCAACTTGAGAAGACTTTTCTCTATCATTCGGCGAAGTTTTATAAGCACGACCAGGGTATCATCTCATTAATCAGTGGAGTTAGCCAAAATGGAAATGGTGAAGTGTTGGAAGAAGGACGATTATGAAAATTTCTTTTTTCGATAACTTTAAAAGTTCCAATTAAATTTACTTTTAATTTTATTAAATAAATTTTAATTAATTGATTAAACTTTTTATATGAAATATAGGTACGACAAATAAAACTATATTTTAAGGATGACAAGCAGTTAACAGACCAACAGTACTTGACTGGTGAAGATATCATGAGGCGAGATGAATCTTTACCTACAATTCACCATCCGACTCAATTCTATGCCCATCATCCCGCCCATCTTCAGGTTTATGAATTTATCAAGACGGTAGCTATCACAATAATCATGAAAATATGCACAAATTATCAGTTGATATCTTATTTCTTGAGAGCTGAGATCGACATAAAAATTTACAATGATATGGAGCGAACAAGTTCCGATAATATTAGTCAATAACTGTTGTTATCCAAGTAATAAATCGGTTAAATACCAATTGGTCAGATAATGACGACGATAAGTTATCAGAGAACAAGGAAAATCTTCAATATATCATCATTTATCGTTAAACTTGTTTTTGATGGTGTCGGTCAAGGTTGTCATTCTGTTTGAACATTTTGAAACCGAAATGATTTGCATGTGCGGCAGTCATCTTTTATCTTCCAATCCGATATGCTAATTATCATCGTAGACGTTATAACCACATACTCCGCAGGGGTTTCCATCTTTCTATACCCTTCATAAAACTCATCATTCCTCATAAACAAACTCATTAATTTAGATATAGTAGTGCTATAACGTTTATTGCTATCATAAGAACCGATCGATGATTTTATATTCAGCATGACCTCTTCGCTGAGGATTTCACGTTTAATCATTCAAGGGCCATTCAAATCATTGATTTTCCTGATTTTATGAAAGCTTCTTTCCAAATATCTACCAATCTTCACAAAAGTTTTACTTTCGAGGGAATAATTTCGTAATTTAGGCGAATAAATTTTTTAAGAATTCAGTCCTTAGAGTTCTGATTTTTCTGTTTTAACTAAATCAGCATTATCATGTTTTAACTAAATCATTTGAAAACAGAAATACATGTAAAATACGAAATTTGATCTTTAAAGGTTTATACCATTCAAAGAATTGAGAAGTCCTTCATTCTTGAGCTGGGAAATCTAAAGCTTTGCATCATTTTTCCCCTGCTGCTACAAATTATTACTTGTCTGTAGAAATTGCCTGTAAATCATTTTAGATTTCTTAAATATTTTGGAAATATCCTAACTAAGAATCATGTCCAATATATTACTTTATTTTACATATATATATATATCATTTTGCATATTTTATAATCTAGTTTATGGGCATTTTAATCCAGGTTTCATTATCGAACTTCTTTTCTTTCAACGATAGAACATTTCACTTCCACTGGTTGCAAGAATGAGGCTCTATTGTCTATATGAACCATTTTTTTGTGTGATTGATCATAACTATTGAAATGAAGTGAAATCGAAATGAATCTAAATCAGTCAAAAACTGATGATTTTCGCGACAAGAGAAATTGAGATATTTTTAAGCGTTCAATAACCTTTCTCTAGAATAAGCCAAAACATCTGGCGATTCTTGTAACTGCTGAATGAAAATTTTCACAATGCAAGTGGCTTTGTTATATTTATCAACGATTTCATCAAAAGTTGATTTTCTTTAATTTAAATCTTTAATTCTTTTATAAACCATTTTAAGGCTGAAAAAAGTGGTAAAATTGTTGAAAGTAGTCTGTAAGCTTTTTTTAAATTTCGTTGTTATCGAATGGGAAAGATTTGTTTTAACTAATTTAATTTAATTTAAGGATATACCAATTGGAAATTGAGAGACAAATTTTCCGGGTTCCCCATTTTTTCCACATTTCTTCTAATTGGAAAATTTTCGATTCAGAAGGGCCGTGTGCTATTGATCATTCTTGAAATATGATAGTTGCTACGATCTTCGCAGCAGAAAAAAATCTGATTTTTACGATTTTAAATTCATTCACAATTAACATTTTAAATGTTAATTCGACAAATTAATAAGTTTTGGATGTTGGTAGCACTAATTTGCCTGAGATTCCCTCACCAGAGAGAGTGACTTAGGCACGCGAATACAGATAGACTCAGCGTGATCTACTCGTGAACACTGAACGTTACTTTTTTTGGCTCTTGCAAGCAAGTCTTTATCCATTCTTTGAGTCGTCAGAGGTTGTTATTTGTAATTGATAACATGGTCCTTTGCTTTCTTATTTAGCTGTCGTTTTTCATTGTTTGATTCGGCAGTTTATTGAATTTTAAATCATTAAATCGTTGATTGATTTTGTTGAACTATTGGCTTGTTTGGTTAAGTGGTAGTTCAAGTACAACTTCGATCTGACTTTTGTGGTTTACCACTGCAATAGGTTCTGCGCTCATCGTTTGGCGATACCATCCAAGTCATAGTTCCATTTTTCATGACAGATTTACTCTTCCCTACTCCTCTTCCTCGACGAAGGATGACAACTGGTCAACACTTATAAATTTAGGATAAAAGCCATTATAATCGTATAATTTGCTAAAAGTTAAACAGGATATATCCGACACTTTCCGATTTTTTTTCATTTTCCTAAATTATTAATATGTAGATCTTCGGACAAACGGTCACCATCTGTTCACCTTCTTTGTTCTATTACTTGAAAATATTTCGGCTAGAGCAGATAAACAGTTCCATTTTTACAGAAATATATTTTAATGGCAAATTACTGTGGAATTTTCCCAATCTCTCTGCTTCATTTTTTAGTTTTAAAGTTTTTCTAAATATAGGATTCATCCTTAAAAGTGCTTATTTCAAATGCGTACATGTTCCCAGCTTCCAAATTCCTACTTGTTTCAATTTTGGAGCAATTTTTGAAACAACCTTTTCCATTCTTTTTTCTTTTGTGAATTTTGTTTCGTTGGTAGACTAATGTATCCATCCCAAAGCTATCAGATTTTGGCTTTTCCAAAAAAATTTAACTTCATTATCTGTGCATGTCTTCCTTCTACTGGATAAAGATTCTTTCAGTATTCTCTCCATTTTTTGAAAATGGATATTTCATTTTTTCACATTTTTTAGAATTTATTTTGAGTTAATTTTCTCCTTTCTTGTTCATTTGCCAAATTTTTGCTGGGTTATTGTGAATTCCATGAACAAATTTTCTAAAATACATTATAATACATACATTTTAAAATGTACTTGCTATTTTTGTTATATACTATTTATTTAGAGTGTTGCTACTGGAGCTCCTATCGATGAAGTGCGAAATATACCTCCTCCATCAGCTCCTTCTGTCGATATTTATGGTACTAATATTTCAACGTTACGCCTAGATCGCTTAATGTGGTTAATCATTTACAGACGATATTTTATGAGAAAACAGAGTGGATCGTAAAAATAGAATATTTTAAAAATAGAAAAAATAGAAAAAAATTTTTCATACCATTCTGAAATTTTGCAAAAAAAAGAAATAAGGAAATATTTCTTATTTCGAATGTTATTTTTAAATTTTAGATATGCTTAAATTTCAAACCCGTAAGATGATATGGGAAATGGGGAAAGGAAATAAGGAGGAAAAGCAAGAAAACCTTTCTTATTCAAGATATTGCTATCAACAAAAAAAATTTGAGAAAATTTTTATTAGATTTTTTGAGGGATTTTTTTAATATTATCCTGATGTCGATGATTTTTGTTAATATAGCCACTAATAATTCAAACAAAGCAGGTGTGCCTCCAACAACAATTGGAATTAATTCGAGGGATCCTTATATTGATTATGGGATGGTTGGAGGGAATATCAACAATATGCCACTAGCGACATCATCAACCTCCCTAACAAATATTGCAATTACGCGATCAAATCCGAAAAAACGTTCAAAGAGTTTGAAATTAGATTCGGATGACGATAGCAGATCAAACGATGATCGAGAAGCGGATCGACGATCAGCAAACAATGCTCGCGAAAGGCACTTTCTTTGAAGACTAACTCAATTTTTCCATATGTCATTTAACATTATTTTTGTAATATGAAGCTAGAAAATCCAAAAAATTCTTAGTGTTATGCTTAAAAGCTCTTTGTTTTTATTTCCTTTGTATTTCTTGAACATTTCTCTCTCCGATTGGTTTTCTGGCGATGGAATCTTAGCCTTTGGTATAAGTAGAGAAGAAATACAATGAATCTCCTTGGCTCAATATGAGCAAATTTTCCATTTTACGCACTATTTTTGTTTCTTTTATAGGTAGAAAGGAATTAAACGGGTAATTAATTATTAAATTCTCCAGTTTTATTCTAACAAACAGTGCCGAATTCCACTAAATTTCATAGCACATCGGACATATTATTTGTGAAGAGAATACACTTCCAGAATACGCGTAAAAGACATCAACATGGCATTCAAGGAATTGGGTAAAATGTGCGCTCAACATCTACAACAGGGAAGTGAAAAAACCCAAACAAAACTTGGAGTTCTACATCAAGCAGTTGCTGTGATAACAGGTTTGGAAGAACAAGTATGTTATTATTTTTCATTTTTCAGGGAAAATTTCACATTTTTAAAATAGCTTTTGCTTAATTTTAAGCGAAGATTTTAAGTAAATATAGGTTTATATAAGGAAGGCGGATTACGTGATTTCAATGAATTCCATAATTTTAGGTACGGCAGCGAAACTTAAACCCAAAAGCAGCATGTTTAAAAAGAAGAGAGGAAGAAAAACTTTTACCAGGGTAAATAATTTAAATTTTATTCCTCTCTTTGGACATGGAGCCCTAACCGTTTGTTTCTATCTTTCTATCAATTAAAATATATCAATTACCAAATTATATATATCAATTACCAAATTATCGAATTCTATGAATTTTTACAGTAATTTCAGGAATGAAGAAATGAAAGTGAATCCTTATATGCCTCCAATGTATCCGGGTGATCATCATTCTAATCAACCATAATATTTGTAATTAGTCGTTTGTTGATAAACGAGTTTTTGCTAAATACGTTAAAATAATGGAATCTTTGCAAAATGGAAAAATGTTTTCATATCAATCCTAAGCCATTGGCTATATTGCTTTCTTTTTTTTTGTTTTAGCTTTATTTCTAAAGTTTGAAAATTCCCTTCCAATAATGGAGAGTCGAAGTATAATTCACTTTACTTGTAGTACAGTTTTTATCACAACAATAGAAAGTAAAATATTAAATTTTCTTAATATCGAAATTCGAATTTTATTCATTGAGAATTTTTTAGGATATTATAATTCAATAATTTTGATAATTCTAATGCTTTTACTATTTTTGCTCGTTTATTTTGTTCTTTATAAATGAATTTTTTTCCTGATAAAAATGTATTTATCATGAATAAACTAACTAAAGAATAAGCTACGAACTAAATTAATACAGTATTCGATGAATTTCACAAAAAATTCGTGCAATGGATAAGGGTGATTTATATTTTTATTTAAAATTATTGTTTTACCGCCTTTTTCCTGTTTTTTGAAAAAATTCTTAAATTAATAAAAATATCTATATATTCGCAAATTTTTTTTTGATTTGATAATAGTATTAAAATTCTCTTTCACCTTTTTCTCCATTTGTGATTTATTTAAATTGTGAAAATGATTTACCTTGGCGCTTTTTTTTATTAATTGAGCGTACACTGATTAGATTTTTAAAAGAGAATATTCGATAATTCCCTTTTTCCAGAGATTGGTCAATTAACATCTCATATTCAGCTCCATAACGGGTTCCACTTATTTGATTTTTGAGGTAAAGTGTTGGACGTATGGCTACTATCTCGCTCATTTCTTTTACAAACCCTCACTGATTGAGCTCGTTCCACTGGCTTGTCGCATTGGGCAGAACGTCAGGGGTTCTTTTGGCGATAAAAATACGGATGAGTCGCCCGCATCACCCTGGTTTTTGAACAGGTTTACTACTGCGGGTAATCGAACCTCTCATTGGCTCTCCATACTGAGCAACGACCTACTGAGCCATCTTCCCTCTTCCATTTCGTTCGGAATCTTGTTATATTTGTACCTTTGTATATAAACCAAAATATTCCTGCGAAAAATAATCTAATTTTGTTACAACTGTGAAGCGCATAGGAAAATCCACGATGAATCATTTTTCAGACTTAAGAAATCTTTTTCTCTAGGAATAAAATTCATTGTTTTTTGCTGAGATAAAAATTGGAGGCAAAATTTTTCAATCTAAAAATTTAACGATTGTTTTAATGAAAATTTGTCCATTTAATGCAAAATGTTAAAAAATGGAATATCTCCATTTTGCTGCTAATCTTTAACACATTGTCATTTAGCAGCATTCATCATTTATGGTTTGGGTAGGTCTATTAGCTGTTAGGATAGAACTTAACCCTATTAGAATTCCTTATTTCACCTATTTTTGCCTCTCATTGCAAGGAATTTTGAGGAAATTATGGCCAATAAATAATGCGACGGAAGAAATTTTTGCGTTTTTGAAAAAATGTCTTATAGAAATAATTTAAATTTTTAAACAAAATGAAAAGCACCAAGGTATAGAGAGATATTTAAAAGGCAAGCCAAATAAGCCAAAAGCCAAAAACTAATCAAGGAATTATCTAAGGTTAGAGGTGAGTCTTCAGCACTACCCTGATTTCCATGACTTCCGAGAATTCGACTACGATAATTTGTGCAACCAACCTCAAGACTAACCTCAAGAAGATGTAATCCGAAGATGAAGTTTTTAGGGAACGGTTTGAAAGTTTACATGAAGCAGAACTATGGGAGTGGAGCGGATGCCAAAGAGAAAAACCAGGAATGTGTTAAATTGTGTTAAATAAAATTCCCTTAGCGTTCAGTTAAAATCTATATTTTTCCATCAAAACAACATGATTCGCGTCACACTGCATTAGCCACCTTCTGTAATTTTATTTTATCATACTTTACTGTGCCCTTGACAAAAACAGATTGTGAGGCTTGTTTAAGAAAAAAGTCATTAAAAGGCAACAATTGGGTCTGAGTAGTGCTAGAAAGAGGTTTACAGTGATGTTATTAACAAATTATGGTAGGAAAATGAAAAGTGATTTGGGAGATACTGTGGTGTCGGCGTTTGGGAAAGTTGGTAAGCTTTAGGGGATCTCAAAGGCTTTCAGCAAGATAGGTTAAGACATTCAAGACTTAAGAAGGTGTTCAAGATGGCAAGGCGGTGACAGGTTCAGGTTTTATCAGTGGATATCAGTGGAATGAAGGTTTGAGATTACGGTTGTCATAGGGATCAATATATAAAGGAATTGGCCGAAGTTGATCTGCTTTGCTAAAGGACGTTTGTGATTTGATTCTTAATGAGTGATGAAGAGATTTTGGAGATGGGGAGGGTTTTAAAAAGTTTTGAGGAGCTTACACTTCAAAATATAAATATTATCTCGTAATGGTTCGTAAGATTTATATAGAAATTTTTATTTAATGGTTTTTTTTTTTTTTCAAAGAAATTTTGGTGGATTAGGAGAATATAGTATTTAGCGTTACAAAACAAATTCAAAGGAAAGCATGTAGAATTAAAGAGCGATTCAAAAAGTTTGAGGATAAAAGAATGTCGAAACGGTTCAGAGTGAAGTGGTATTTTGGAGATTGGGGGATTCCACGAGGGATTAGAAGAACTTAGGGGTGCAGAATAAGGGGTGGCTGTGTAATAGGGATTGGAAAGAATTTTGCAGTTTAGAGCGCAGACATTAATTAGCAAATCACTATATAGACTTTTTCCTTTTTCTCCCACCACTGCTGGTTAGATTCTCTCCGCTGACTTGTCGGACCAAGTAAATTTTGCTAGGAGACTTTTCCAGCAAAAGTATAAGTGAGTTGCCAGTATCACCCACGTTTTCGAAGGATTCCTGCATATCGTAGAAATTAAATATCGACGCTCTGAATTGAGCAACAACCCCGTTCAGCTATTCACTCCTTATTATATAGTTTATCATTGTTCTTCAATTGTTAATTCATTGTTTTTCAATTGTTAATTTTACAATTTTTTTTAGTTTATTTATTTACTCTGTTCATTTATTCTATAATTTATAAATAAATAATTTTGCTGTTTTCGGACAAATCTCCTCACTTATCCTTTTTTTGATAATTGATAATTGATAAAAATTTCTCTCAATTTTCCAATGAAATTTTTACAATGTGGGCGGAGTTTTTGAGAATAACTTTGGATTTCTATCTGCTACGTCCCAATCGATCTTTTTTCGTGGGAGCTCCTTGGTTTTTGCGCTTAGTGCGGTGGTGTGAATGAAGAGGAGTTGTGTTGGTTCAGGTTCGGTTTAGGTTTGAGATTTGAGGAAGGAAATGGAATTAACTCTGAAGTGAGCCCGAGAAGTGACCTTTTTATTTGCTTAGCTCGATTATATTTGATAAGATTTTATTCACTTGTCTTTCTTTTCCTTTACTAAAATTCAATAAATTCTTCGAATTTCGTCGAGAAATCTGCTTGAATTTTGCCTGTGAAGTGGTAAGCACGAATAACAAATTAATTACGTTATATTTTTTTTAAAAACTTATTGTTAATATGGCAATTAAAAACAAATCGCTGATAGGTTCGTTCGTTGGGCGACTGTTTGTTAAGTGAGTTCCAGCTGTTGGCAGTCTGCTTCCAAATTAATTTAACACTAACGCTGTTAAATTGGAGTTAAATTCCCACTGAGGAACATCTGCAAACCCATGATCAAGTTTAGAACCTGTAGCAATGAAATGAGCGAACACTTCAGGTTAAGTATCAGTCATCCCAAAAGAAATTTCAGGTTTGGCGGTTTATATAAGCCTGGTACATATTTTTTGTTAAAATTGTGGTTTTTCTAAATTCGGACGAGAAAATTAAAAGTTTTTCATATTTTTGGTACCAAATTTTTTTGAATGAAAATCTTGATAATTTTGATGAATTTTACTAATTTCTTTTGATTTCGATGAATATTAAAAAAAAAACTTGTTTTTTACCGATGAAAATAAGAATTTTTTGTAAAATTTACCATTGTCATCTCAGCAGCATTCATCCAGCATCGCCCGGTTTTTACTTTTATAATAGGTTGCTTATCTTCTTCTTCTAACACCTCTCACCATTACTGGTTAGCCTGGCTGCAGCAGCTACAAGCATAGACGCTTCCAAGCGGCGCGGTCTGATGCTATCGTCGACAGTAACAGAAGCCATTCCTTTTTCCATCGTCTAAGTCCATATACTGGTTCACCTATACGTTTAAAATCTTTTCTGACCGTGTCAATCTAGGTCTTGATTGGCCCACCTCGCTTTTGACGCCAACCATCACACGGTTTAGCAAGTAAATATGCGTCAACTATGGTGGTGAACGACGAAGAACAATCGAAGGCGACGCTCTATGATAACATTTGAACGAAGATTATAATAGGTTGCCCATCAATGGAAAAGAATCGGACCCAAGATGTTTGCCTAGTCTAGTCGAAGCAATATGCCATTCAACTATCTTTCTATATTTTTCAGCTAATTTTTATAATTCATTAAAAGTTTATGGGTTATATATTACAAACAATGATTGGAATTACAGATTTTGCCACAATTTTATAATCTTTTCACGATCTTTGCATACTTGCATGCAGCATACTTCGTTATATTTATGGATGATTTGGACATAGTTTCCTTTCTTCTGACAGCTCTCACCTGGACGGACATCTGATTGGGTTGACTACAAAGGTAAGAAGTTGTTTGATCCGACGCCATTGCTGGCAGTAATAGAAGCTATTTTTCCATCGTCTAAGTCTCTTTAAATCGTTGGTCCATCTGTGCGTTTTTTTCCGTATTATATCAGTCCAGGTTTTAATTGGCCCTCTTCACTTTTGCCTCTGTTCATCACATACAAGTTTAGCAAGTAACGAAATAAATGTCAACTGCTGCGGTGGTTGACGAAGAATGTGTCCTGATCAATGAAGGCTTTTTTATGATACTTTTAATGTAGATAGTATCTGAGCGAAGATGGAATGCAATCATGTGAGATTTTATCCACTTGGAAAACCCCTAAAATGTCTTTCAGTGTAATCAAAAGTAGATAATTTAATAACCTCCACTCTCATTGGCAGCCATGTGACAAAATCGTGCGAACTGTGGCGGATTTTCGTTTTTATAATTCACTATGACTCCTTAAAGATTTCGCCAATCGGACGAACGTATTTTTAGCAATATATTTTCACCAACCGGATTGTAATTTCATCTTTCGCGTTGCATTTGGGATTAGAATGGATCCAAGATATTTAAAGTCTGATACTTTTTAAACCCACGATGCATTCATCAGATTCTGGTAATAAGACGAAAAGACTTTCGTGCTTCCGTTCTATTCACCCTGAGTCCAGTTCTTGAGGCTGCAGTTGTTGATATATTACTTATTTCCATTCACCATAATTGTTAGCAAAAAGGACCACATCATCAGCATATTTAGGGTCTGTGATACTGTGCTCTGGACTGATTTATACATCCCTTGAGTGTCGACAAGCGATATCCATTATCTAATCCATCGCATAGTTGTCCAATGCTGTACAGAAAAGGACGCAGCCTTGACAGATACCAGTTCTTATTTCGAAGAAGTCTGTTGACTTCCTGTATACACAGACAGCGCAGATATACGCTGGTAAAATGATTTTATGAGTCGAATGATCTCTGGAACATCTCTGGAACATTCCATCATTTTGCATAGCTCTATTATCAATTGAATCGAAGGTTGCAAAATCGGAAAAACAAGTGACGATGGGTTGCCGATATTTGAAGCGATGATCTTTCTTAACATGAATTTGTGGTCAAACATCTCCCGACCCAGCTTAGTCGCCGTCTCGTATTGCTATAAGTTTGTTTATTAGAAGCAGAAATTTTCGCGAATATGTTTAATAGACCAGTTCCTCGATAATTTTCACAATATGTCCTGTCTCCTTTCTTGGGAATTGGGAGCAGAATTATTTTGCTTCATCCATTTGTTATTATTTCATTTTTCCCCTCACCAGAAAGTATAATATACTAGTAACAAAAAAATTTATGCTCTTTGCCAAAGTGAGAAGAAGACGTTCTCCTTTGGCGTACCCGATCCCATTGCCAATTATAGAATTCGCCGTGGCGGCATCATTACGCGCACATTTGAGTCTCCGATCATGACCATGTCACTTTTCAGTTAAAGTTAAAAATTGAAGTTCTGCATAGAACATGTCCTTATCACGCTCATCTGCGCTTAAGGTTGGAGCATATACACTGATGACTGAAATATTACAGAACTTTCCTTCGAAACGAGCCCAGGTCATACGGTCGTTTACTGGCTTCCACTCAATAACAGCGTACCGAGAGTATTTTAGAAAATACGAAACGAAAATTTAAAAGAAATTTAGTTTTATTTCTGTACCAAATTTTAATGCTTCAGAAATAGTAAGTGAAATAAGAGAACGGAACAAAAAAGACCGCTCAAGAAATAAAAAATTGGAAAATCAGTCAGGAAAATAACGTCCTGACATTTGCAGACAATTTCGTAATTTTTAAAAATTTCGTATTTTCGTAATTGGTAGAGAAACTGGGGACGTTTAGCAATACGTTTATCATTAATTTTAAAGTAAATTATTAAAATAAATTACATTTGCTGTTCTTCCGTCTATTTTTTCAAGTATCTATAAGTATCTATATAAAATTATATGCAAATGTCGCGAAAGCTGAAAAGATTATAAAGTGAGCTGCAAATATTAGATAACTATAGGTTACGAAATTATGTGGCAATAATTGAAATGTAAACTGTAATTAATCGAATCAGAACTTATGTAAATTTTTTGTTAAAGGAAAACTGGTTTTTTCTTTTATCTTTAAGTATTTGTTTTTGTATTTTTGTTTTTTTTTCATTAAATGAGTGTTTAGAACTGGTTTGTAGTCATGTCAAATGGATCATCTTTATCGCTAATTCGTCAGAATTTCTCGGATGAAGCGGAATCAGCTCTTAATTACCAGATAAATTTCGAATTGTATGCCAGTTATGTATATCTTAGCATGGTTAGTTAGTTTTTTAATTTTCGAGTGACAAACAAGTCATATTGCTAATTAGTAAGTGTAATTAGATTAGAGGCTTTTCATTAATTGTTCATTTTCTTAAAAATTTTATTTTTGTTATGCAGGAAATTCTGGGCCGTGGATTTGAACTTTTCAGGACTTTTCAATTTAATTTTTTGAAAATTATGAATAATTTTTCTTCTCAGGCCAATTATTTCGATCGTGCTGACGTTGCATTAAAAAATATTGCAAAATGGATGTTTAAACAAAGTGAAGAAGAGCGCCATCACGCTTGTACGCTTATGGAATATCAAAATACTCGTGGCGGTCGTGTTATATTCTCAGATATTCCTGTAATTTTTAATTTTTATTATTTTGTAATGGATGCATTATTTATTACAATATACATTAAATTTTAGGCCGTATTATCAAATAATTTTAATATCTTCGTTTCTTTATGGGTAATTATAAATATCCTTGTTGTTCTTTTTGTTCATTTTATGTTCTAATATTATTATATAATTAATTTAGAAACCTGAAAAAAACGATTGGGGTTCAGCTTTAGATGCATTCAGATGCGCCCTTGCAATCGAAAGAACAAATAATGAGAATCTGCTTAATCTGCATCGTGTTGCCGAATCAAAAAATGACTTTCAAATGACAGATTTTATTGAGGATAAATTTCTGCGTGAACAGGTTCGTTCCAATGGCCATTAAACGCTTTATTCTCCTTTTTTCATTCGTTTCTTTCTTTCATTCTTTATATTTTCTTTTTTAAAGAAATAGCTATTCAGCTATTAATTTAGCTAGCTATTCTGAAAAAGATTTAGAAAAATGGACGGTGGATAGTTTTTAAAATATATTTTTTATGCTATTCTCTTCTCATCACATTCTCTTGATTTCTGGGCATATAATTGGAATTTTAATTAAATTGAATATCATATTCTCTATTGCTAGGACTTTCTGAATTTCTTAGATAATATATTTAAACTAGCCGAATTGAAATCCAAATCTTGGCATTATTTTGTTAATAATGTCAATTATGGCGTTTTGCTTTATAAAATAATTTGTATAAAAGAATAAGAAAGAAAAAGAGAATTTTTCAGAATTCATAATATATGAAAATTTTTTCAATTTATTCATTTTGTGGATGAAATATTCAAAGCATTTATTATTAGGTGGAAAGTATTGAAGAAATCGGTGGATTTATAACCAATCTAGAACGTGTTGGAACTGGTATGGGTGAATATGTCTTCGACAAAGAACACTTCGAATGACGTATATATCTACAGTTACTTTGTTTTCTTTTAACATTTTTAGTGCATGGTGAAATTAGTCTCAAATTTCTTTTTGTAGTTTTTTGTATTCATGGAAGATTAGACTTTGCATAACCTCATTTTTTGAAATGATATGAATTTTTACTACCTCATTTCTTTTTATATGGCTTTTCACTACCTCATATCATATCATCCAGATCATATCATTCTTCACTTTCTAAATTTCCTCATTCCTTATTTTACCCAGTAATTTTTACATTTACATTTACTAGTTTTAAAGAATTTTTATTGTCAGTTTTTGCTTTTAGACTGTTTTCTGCATTATTCATTTTCATTTTCAAATTCGCATTATTGTTTGTTGAATAAATGTTATTTATTTGTGCGAATCTCATTTTAAAAGGATTCTGTGGAATGAAATGTATTTTATTACTAGAAGAGTTGCATTTTTGCGAGCATGAATATCAGAAGAAATTTGCAGAGAAAATAAATATGGTTGTCTGAATGGGCCTGTCTGCTTTAATCTCATAGCCTGAGGCAGTTTTTTGGGTTTAAGTTTGTGTACATTTTGTTTTTGCGTATTCCGATGGATTTTTTTTTCTTTTTGAGCGGAATTGCGACGAAGCTGAATTTTATTCAACTGGCGGAAGTGAATGGTTGTAATTCTAATATTTTCACCATATTTTAAAAAAATTCTTAACTGAGTTTTTTTTCCTTCTTTTTTTTGCACATTTGAAGAATAAAATTTGTTTTAAATTTTTCATCTGTAGTGATGAAAAGTTACTTAAAGTTACATATTTCATTTGTTTATTAAATCCCAGTCTTACATAATTATCGACAGTTCAGAGGAAATAGTCAAGTGGACTAATTAAAAGTTTTGCAGGTTTATGAAAAGTAAAAGAAGCTTTGAAAAATTAAAATGTCGCTGAAGCAAGTTAAAACAAATTTCAATGCAAATTTTGTTGATAATTTCGATTTCTTTCTCTTCGATGCAGATGGAGTTCTGTGGTTAGGCGATAAAGCATTGCCTGGTGCTGTAGATTTTCTTGAACTTCTCATAAAAAAAGGCAAAACTTTTTTCTTGAATTTTTTTACGAAGAATATTCGAAAATGATGCTAATTTTTTCAGGCAAGAATATATTCATCATGAGCAATAATTCTACCAAAACGATTAAAGAAAATATTAATAAATTACATAAATTAGGCTTCCTTATGGTTTTGGAGGATCATGTTATTAGTCCGGCTAAAGTTCTTGCTCATATTTTATCGAAAACTCCATCTGATCTCCCTGTTTACCTCATTGGTAGTGAAGGTCTACAGGTATTTAACTTTATTCTACTCTGCATGAATGGTTATAAAACGGCTACTTTTATGCTGTAAATTAGAATGTTTTTTAGAAGGAACTCTTGAATAAGGGTATTAAAAGTTTCGGCGTTGGACCTGATATGGTAGAGAAGTACACAGATGACAATTTTATCTATGATATTGATACGAGTCAACCAGTTCGAGCGGTTGTTGTCAGTTATGATATACATATAAACTATGTGAAAATAATGAAAGCAGTGAATTTTATCCATCATCACAAAGTTGATTTCATTGCTACCAATGAAGATTCGACTCTTCCAGGACCAATTAAAGGTTTGCTGATATAATGAATTAATAGTGTTATATTACGGAAGCAACAAAAATTTTAGACGCTTAGACGCTTTTGCATATCATTCTTAAGACCTTTTTTATTAAATATTACTATTAATAGTAGCCGAATTGTCCATTTTCCGAAATTTTTAATCAGTAGAGAAGCGAAATATTTATTATTTTCAAATATTATTTATATTTTCTAATATTTATTTTTTTCCGATGTGACTTTGCCTGGAGCTGGGGTTAATGTTAAAGCAGTGGAGAAAGCTTCAGGCAAACAACCGATCGTTATTGGTAAGCCATATATTCCGATGTTCCAATATATTAGTGAAAAATATAGTGTCGATGCGAATCGGTCTGTTATGTTTGGCGATCGGTGTGATACTGATATCAAATTTGGTCGTAACGCAGGAACGAAAACTGTTTTAGTTGGAACGGGTGTGCATAATCTGGAAGATGTTCGTGAAATATTGTCTCAAAATCTTCTTGATCAAGTTCCCGATTACTTTTGTGCTTCCCTCGATAGTCTTTCTAAAAGTCTGGTTTAATTGTTTCATGAATCGTTTACAATTTTTGAAGTACTGAAATTTTTAATATTTAATAAATGTTTAAAATCAATAAATAATTCGGGAAATTTACAAAAATTTTGCAAATTCATTTTCATGTCAAATATTTGCATTCTTTTTCTATTTAATATTTAATATTTAAAATTCTCGACATTGTTGCATGGAAAATATTGTGTTTCAAAATACTGAATATCAAAGTTAAGGAACAAAAAACTTAAAGAATAATAAGTTACCCATCAAACAAGTAATATGCGATCCACTTTGGATCTGCAAATGACGAAAATATTTCATTCATTCATTCAAATAAGTATTCAGTAAACTAGGAGTATCATTAGAAGAAGAAAACTAGTAGCTGGTAATAGTTGGCTAGCGTTATTGAACAACACATCAGTTAAGGATAGGTCGCATTAGTTCTAGCAAAAATTGGAAATTAAATCAGTATGTGAAGTTGAAATAAACATGACCTTTTACGGCAAACATAACAGGTAGCAATTAACGAAGCCAAATTTCAAATTATGACAAAATATATGCTTCAAGGTGGTAATAAAATGTTACGAAGCGAGGACAAGTCGAAATGTGGCATTCGGTGGAATTAATTATATCCAAACAAATTTGTAAATTTATCCAAAAACCTTAAAAATTTTACTTATATCGAGAATTTCTATGGAGCACGGTTTATTGATCTTTGTGTAATAATTACAATGATAGTTTTGTTGCTTCAAAAAAGCGGCTAACTTTTTTCGTGATGCTAATATGAAAATAGTATCTTGAGCCGCTTTTCCTAGTTTCAAGCGATCGTAAATCGCAGTCGTATTTTAGAAAATTTTGAGAAAAGCTAGAATATAAATTTTGAAATATAGATAAGCTCTATCATCGATTTCTACACCTCGACCACTGAAACCATTAAAAATGAAATCCAAATTGTGCTGAGAGTATGCAATATATTGGTTATTGATATATTAAGTGATTGTGAGTGATAAATGCTTCTTATTCCAATTGCCAGTAGATTTAGCCAAACCAGAAACGGTGAGTGCTGTTAGACGAATTGAAAAACATAGTCAAGATAAGTTTGAGCGAGTGAGATATGAAGTGGTGCTAATTCATCATAGAAACTTGAAACTCTTTCTTCTTGAGAAACTAACTGACTGAATGATTGGCTCATCAGTTGAAGTATTTCATCAAAAATTGTATGTATTTCATTGTTCGGAGCCTTTTCACTCTCCTAATTAATTAAGCTGGAATTCCATCTCTTTAGCTAACTTTTTAAAGCAAAAGTCGAAATTCTTGCAAAATCGATTCTAATGATTTTTCAAAAATTCTTTCTCAGTTTCCACCCCCATCCCCCCCACCTTCTTCTTAAAAAGAAAGAATTGGTTCTTTGATATCATTTTTAATTTTAATATCCTCGATGCTGGGGACCGAATGGTATATTTCTTCGATTGGAGTTCTGAATTCGATCTATGTGCGTTTGGCAAGATTGCCATTAAAAATAAAGTCCAGTGGTGTTAACGACCCATTTGTATTCCTTTTCAAGCAAATTTCTCTCATGAATAATTCTTATGTTTTATGTTAATGTTTCATGTTTTCTTTCAATTATCAAGTTCATTTGCTAACTCATGGAATAGTACGAAACTTAACTTTTAGTTAGTGTCAAAATTTTCAAAATTCTCGCAAACAAATATAATTTTTCATTAGTGGGTTTTTCTCCACAAATTTTAGTTATCCTCACCATACTCAAAAAGTTTTAATTTTTATTTTCTTTTTATTTTATCGCTTCTGATAAATAAAAGATAAAAACATAGGAGACATTAATACATAGAAGATTAACGACTTTTCTTTATCTTCATATTTTTTCATTATCAATTTATGAAGTTTTTCAAATTTGCAATGAGAGCGAAACAGTCGCTCCATAATTTAGGAAGATTTTATAAGCAAAGAAAAGATTCTTTTTAGGGACCAAATCGTGATTTATTGCACTTACAGTCCGAGTTCCATAATTAGAATAAACAAAAGTGAGATACAGATAATGCTGTGGACCCATTCCACTCCTAAAAATAAATAGCTGGCAAATCAGGATTCAGAAACTATGACGATGGGTTATTTATTTAATAATATGCTATTAATAACTTTGTTCCGAGATTTAGATCAGCTAAAGAACAACAGCAAACGCAAGAAAAAAATATGACAGTTGAACTCAAATTGATTGCTTTTATTTTTAGTTATTAATCAGTTTTTCCTTGGGTGTACGGTAAAAAATTTATTATAAAATTTATTAAAAATCAATTTCGAATCGTTTCACTCAGTTTCTTATTTACAAATATTCATGGGCAGAATAACTAATTCAGACTGTCGTGTTGACAAGCATGGATTCAGATTGCGCCTCCGCTGGAAGTAAAATTGTATTAAAAAATTCTGGCGGTGCTGGTGATCCACTCGCGAGCAAAAATTCCTGGAAGTCAATGGAGCTAAAACAACCAGAAATGGTGAGCGCTAACCATCTTTTTTGTTTTTTTGTTTATAATATTCTTTACTGAAAATTTTTTAACCATTCTCATTGCTGTTGATCATTGATTGATCGATGAACTTAATTTTAGAACCAATTTGAGAAAGCTGAACGAATGAATGAACAAGTTGATCATGAAGAGGGAATTTATAAATTTCAAAATGATGGTCACCGAACAAATGGAAACGAAAATCTGATATCAAACCAAACTGTGTTATCAAATGAACACTCACAAGAAAAGAGTTGATTTTACATCGGTTTAACAAAAAGTTTCGAAATTTCCTTACGAATAAATTACTAAAAATTCGTCAGCGGTCATTTTTTAAAATTACTTGAACCAGCTTTTCAAGATATTAGCAATCATTCCATTGGAATCTTGCAACGAAACTAATTAATTTTTTTGAAAATTAAAGCATAAAGCCCTTTATGCTTCTTCTTCTTCTAACAGCTCTTTACTGGTTAGGCTGCTGGCTACAAGGGTAAGACGTCTCCAAGTTGCTCAGTCCGACGCCATAGCTAGTAGTAATAAAAGCCATTCCTTTTTCCATTGCCTAAGTCCATATATCGCTGGTCCCCCTATACGTTCAAAATCTTTCCTATATCAGTCCAGGTCTTGACTGGCCCTCCTCGCTTCAGACCCCATCACCAGGTTGTTTTAGCAAGTAAATAAGTAATGAAATATGCATCAAATCCTGACGACGGAGAACGTACCCTAACCAGCAAAGGCGACGCTCCGTGATAACATTATTAATATAGGTGGTATTTGAGCGAAGGTGGATATTCATGCGCGATTTTATCCGCTCGACGAATCCGTAAAAATAAAAAACTATCCAACTGTCTGAAAAAGATGTCAAAGCCCGAATATCAGGAGATCCTGATTATCCGGTGCTTCGAAGAATCACAAGGACAGCAGCACGGGGAGACAGAAATCGCAATTGAAGCGATATGACCTTGAGAATAGAGACGGCTGCTCGGATAGGTGATAATAGGAAACTGTTTCGCCTTCTCGCAAAGCAAAGAGAAGAGGTCAGTGAAATGATACGGGATATTGATGGGTGCCTATTAAAGCTATCAAGAATCGCCTCAGAAGATGGCAAGAATTTTTTGAGGCCAAACTTAACCACGATGCACCATCTGACACAAATATAACTGATTTGCCCGTCGAGCCTTACGTTTACAACTGAGCCGCCAACAGAAGAGGAAATAATCTCTATAATCCATAAGCTTAAGACCAATAAAACTACTGGAGAAAATGGTCTCCGGGCTAAACTCTTCTTCAAATGTTGTATCATAGTTCATAATTGGTATGGCAAAAAGAAATAATACCAGAGGAGAATTTCTGATTGGAGCTTCCAATTCCTAAAAAAGGTGATATTGACGTACTGCGACAATTACCAAGAAATCAGCTTACTGGACATCTCCGAAAATTTTTCGCTTTCCTTCTCAACAGACTAATTACGAGACAGCAGAATATGTCCTAACCAAGCTGGCTTCAAACCGTTGTGCTCACTAGATATTTACGCTAAGAAAGGTACTGTGAAGGGTACTATTTAATATCGCATTAAATACCAGCAACCCACCGTCATTTGCTTTATTGGTTTTGCAGCTGCCTTCGATTTGATTCATACAGCAGCGCTGTGGAAAGTAATGGAATGTGACCGTGTCCCAAAGAAGATCATTTGGCTCATAAAGACATTTTATTAGCATACCCTGGCGCATCTGTGTATATGGGGAACTGAAAGAGCCCTTCGAAAACTAGTCGCATCGCCGTCAGGGCATCCTTTCTCCTACAATATTCAACTATGCGATAGATTGGATAATGGGCATCGCTTGTCGGCATTCAAGAGGTATGCGAATCGGTCCAGAGCATAGCATCATAGACCTTGATACACTGATTATGTAGTCCTTTTTGCTGACGGTTGAGGTTGAATTATGGGGAAATGCAAATAATGTTAAACAATGTGTCGACAACTACAGCGGGAACTGGACTCCAAAATCAATATAAATAAAACGAAAGTGTTTTCGTCTTATATTCAAGATGCTGATAAAATACCTATTTTTATCAATTTATTGCCGAGGAGGTGTTGGAATTTAAATGCCTTGGATCCACTCTCCACTCTCTAATCCTTTTCTGCTTAATCCAGTTATATCTACGACTTTTTTCTGGAAGTCATGTTCCATGAAACTTATGACAAAAAACTTCCTTATTTCGTAACAGAATGAAAACTGGTTGGCTTTGAACGTAACTTTGGCAAGATATAAGAGTTCGGCTGCTATTAGAGACAGGGAGCCTATCATTAAAAAAACCTGAGTGGCACTGGGGACCCACTTGCATTTCTGTCGTCTATTAATTTCCTGATTCTTCCTGGCAAGAATTCTAATTTCATCGAAACTAATCTCACTAGTGGGAACTAACCGCTTACTTACTAACTTAATTATTTTTTAATTTTTGTTGAAGATATAAATTGAGAAATTAAGAAATAAATTCAGAAAAGCAAATCTGCGAAGGGAATGATGAGCAAGCATGCTTACAAAGATATAGTAAGCCAAGCCAAATTATTCGTTCGTGGAAGAGAGCTATTAAAGTAAATAACAATTTTCATAATTTAAAAATACCTTCCGAATCATGTAAAAAAACAAGACAATTTTTTTTCAAACTGGCTCCAAGTTTAATAAGAGTGTCATAGGTAATGGCAACGCAGTCGTTTTTAATTCATGTAGTTTAAGCTGGTTTTTAGCCGATTCTACAGCTGATGCTATCAATTTCCAAAAAATAACCCTTTCTTTTAGCCATGGTCCCATTTCTTCTCGCTGTCAAACTTTAGTCTGCCTACCATCGATGAATACCTGAAACGATTTAAGAACAACCTTCGATTTTTCATCATGAACTATGCGATCATTACAATTATTTTTGTGGTATGTTACAAGAGATACTAACAGATTCTAGATAAGTTCCACAAATTGGTTCTGTAGGTCGAGTTTTTACATCATTTAAATGACGATTAATAAGAGCAATATAATGTAATAATTAGAGTTCCCTGTCGTGTTGTGTGGTCTCACCTATTATCCCTTACCTCTCACCATATTCATCTTCGTTATCATCAGAGGCAACCAAATCAAAAATGAAAAATCGATCTCTCACCATATTAGAATTTTGAGAAGCATAAAATCAGCCACAGATTACTTGGAGACTGTTTTATATATCTATTTACCTCTTTGTTTTAATGTCATTAAAATCTGAACTAAAACAGATGTATCAGTGATCACAGCCTTTCTTAATTCAACACATCTTCCCACTTCAATATACTGATAAACGAAAGTATATTTATAGATTTCTACTTTTTCTTTTAGCAGTTATCACTATTACTGGTTAGGTTGATTCCACTTGTTAAAAGGATCAGGCGTATTTCAAACAGCGCGATCTGATGTCGTCGTCAGAAATAGAAGCCATTCCTTTTTCTATTGTCTAGTCCATATATTACCTACATGTTGAAGTTTTTCCTGATCGTGTCAGTCCAAGTTTTGATTGGCCCATCACTTTTGACGCCACCCATTATAGGGTGGCAAGTAATGAAATATGCATCAATTCCTGTAGTGGACGACGGAGAATGTGCCCTAATCAGCGACGCTATGTAATGGTAAATTAATATAGGTGATTCTATCCACTCCGTGCATAAGAGGTATCTTAGATATGAGTGGTCAAAGGCAGAAACTTATTAATATCCTCCAATTGCCATGCCTCAACAACCGAATAGCAAGACCAAACGAATCGCAGTAATATAGACGCGGACGTTTTTACAGTGATTTCGTGACGGCTCCATAAAGCTTTCATTAACTGGAAGAATGTATTTTTAGATGCTGTTATCGGGTTTACAATTTGGCCTTTTGCCATTGGTATTAGAGTGGATCCAAAATCCGGGAGTTCTTCAACGGGCAATGAGTTTATAAAAAGAGGCATTTTATTTTTATCAGTTCCTTGTATATAAGATGAAAAGATGTTTATTTGCATTGATCCTGAGTTCGATTCTTGCTGGAGTTGTTGATTTCATCATAATTATTAGCAAAAAGGACTATATCATCAACATCATCAGCATATTACAGATATGCTTTGGACTGGTACACCACTCGAATGCCGACAAGCAGTGTCCATTATCCAGTCTATTTGCATAGTTGAATATTGTAGGGGAAAGGACACAACCTTGACGGATACCAGTTCTTATTTCAAAGGATTCTGTCAGTTTCCCATATATATAGCCGACGCACGCTGATAAAATGCCTTTATGAGTCGAACGATGTCTGGGACCGCGACGCGTTCCATCACTCTCCAAAGCACCATTCTATCAACTGAATCGAAAGTAGCTGCAAAGTCTATGAAACACGAAACGTTGTACTGCTGATATTTGAAGCGATGTTCCATGAATATTTGGTCAAAACAAGTGCGCCCTGGCCTGAGTCCAGCTTGATTAAGGCACATCCTGCTGTCCTGTACTATTATAAGTCTGAGTAAATGGGGAGCAAAAATTTTCGCTGAGACTTCTAATAGGCTGATTTCTCGATAACCGTCGTAGTATGTCCTTTCTTGAGAATTGGGAGCAGAATTACTTTGCTCCAGTCATCTGGTAATATTTCTTTCTTCCACACCAGAAAGTACTACAAATATTGAAGGTGCGTTATGAAAAACGATGGACAATATTTGAAGAGTTTTGAAGACTATCTTCTCCATGAGTTTTATTGGCTTCAAGTTTCTGTATGATAGGGATTATTTCCTTTTCTGTTGGCGATCCGCAATTACACACATATGGTTTGAAGAATCAACTATGTCCGAGGCAACAGGTGGTGTATCGTGGTTAAGTTTGGCTTCAAAGAATTCCCTCCATCTTATGAGGCGATTCTTAATACTCTTAACAGGCACAATATTCCTATGTCGTACCATTTCACTGTTCACCGAGTTATAGTTACTTCATGAATAAGACAGAATACCGTAAAAAATAGTTTCTTATTATCGCCTAATCGAGTCGCCACCTCCATTTCTCATATTACTCCAATAACGATTTCTGTCTAACTGTACTGCTGTCGTTCGATTCTTCGAAACATTTAGCAGTCAGAATCTCCTGATACTGGCAGCTTTTTTAGACAGTTAAACAGTTATTTATCCTAGTATAGAAATGGATGATTTTCGTATGCATGCCTTTAGTTAGGACCAGTATTCACCAACCGTTCCAGAAATGTTATTGATATTCATATCACTGTGTTGCTTTAAAAATTTAAAATACATCTATTCTCTCCGAAATTTTTAATTTGAGATAGTTGAAAAATCTTAGGATGCATTGTTACTTGCGAATTGACAGTTTGCGAATTGCGAATCTTGGCTCAATCTATCCATAATATAGTCTGATCCATGAAGGTCGCCCGTTTTAACAAACGATCTAGTATGGAACAACGACGATTGACTAAGAAAGATATCAATATGGTTGATTATTCGGGAGTTCCACGCGGCAAGACGTTTTCTATGATGCCGGATGCAAGTATTAACAAAAATACTCGTCGATATAGCAAAGAAGATCTTCCCCATTGATCTCCGATTGCCAATTGCCATCGCAGCGGCATTATGACCCACGCGTGCATCTCAGTCTCTCCCCATCTTGTCATGTTTCGATAAAGACTGTTAGCGCCCGGAATATATCGCATCTACCACCAGAATGGGAGTTGAAGTTCCACATAAAACTTTATCACGGTCATATGTTAACAAAGTTGGAATATAAACACTGATGACCGAGATATTGAAGAACTTACCTTTAAAGCGAGCATAAATCATGCGGTCGCTTACTGGCTTCCACTCAATCAAAACGGAATGGGCTTTTTTAGGCATGATAACCCCTACGATATTTTGCTCCGAGTTGTCCGAAGCATCATAATGATATAGCCAGTACATTGAGCTAGGATTAATAATTACTCGAGATCCGAAGTGACGGACCTCCGATAAGCAGACGATATTCACACGGTATCTAGAAATATTATAAATATCGCTTGGCTGCTTGAAACGTCAATAAGCATTCTGTGTTTTCCATGCTGATATGGGATATATCTAACGCCTCATCGTGCAGACAGCCTTCATAGGTTTCGAGCAATTGTCCTGGCTTGAAAACATTTTATTTTCTATGAGCCTTGGAAAATGTTTTACGCCTGGATTGTATATCGCATGTACCACCAAGATGGAAGTATCATGCGCGTCGAATGCTGTGTCGAGAACATCTGGCCCTTTTAACATAAAGTCACTTGGGGTTAGGTCGGTCCCTAGCAGCCACACGGATTTTTAATATGACATGCTCGATTCTGTCGAAGGCAAGCATAATATTATATTATTTTATAATATTATTTATGCTTATAGTGGAAAAAAAATAATAAAATTTAAGAAGAGAAAAAAAACATCGTTTGAGGTGCACAAACGAAATAATAACCGATAATCGACCAGTAAAAAAGCCAATAATAACAGTTACTTCTATATTTTAGTAGAGCAGTTGACGAACGACCGCTCACTATTCGATTTAATTTATAGATTTATTATTTAGCAAAGATGAACTATTTATAGACGTGCAGTATTATGACATCATTTTGGCTTTTACTGGCAACGATTGTTTTGGGATTATTAATATATCTTATTTATTCGTCGACTTCGAAAGAACCAGCAAAAATTGGTGGCGAAGAAGTAAGTAAATTGGCGCGTTGCAAACTTATTTATCGAACAAGCGCTTTATTATTTTGGCATCGTGTTAAAGCAAAAAATAATATCAAAAAATAAGAAATAATTTGTGCAGCTTAGGATAAGAAATAAATATTTACTGTAATATAATATAAATTTCCGCATATTTAAACTACGAAGAATGTGAAACAAATAATAAAACTAATCATTTATTATATTGTATAATAAGTAAGAAAGACTAAATACATAAAATTTTCGATGAGATTTATAAATTCAATATTTTACATTTAAGTAAAACAATTCCAGTTTTAAGATGGACTGGTAGTAAAACTATTATTCGATTTGTGATTTACTGCCCCAGAAGATTACATTTCTGCTTACTACTAGGAAACGCATTATTCTGTAAATTGCAGATACCATCTTCGATTCTGTATGCAATCGCTGTTTTTGTTACAATGCCACTATTCGTATTTGCTCATATTGGGTATATCGTATACTGCGCAGCTGGTGAGTAAAAGCCTTACGAAATGATATGAAGTATTTCAGCCAATAAGTTCCATTCTCAACGCAGGTTTTACTTTAATGAGTATCGATAAGTGCTGTTGACTTATGTCTTAAAGATTGCTTAGTCGAGTGGTGCTTTGTGCTGCTTTGATTTATTTTTCTCTTGCCTAGTTAAAAATTCGAACATGCGATTGTTTAGATGTGGTTAGATGTGGATTATGGCGACAACGGATAATTATTTATTCTCATCTGAAAATGATTGGGATTTCTTTGTTTACTAAAGCTCAGCAAACAAGAAGTTCTAAAATAGATAGTACCATGAATATGGTAGTTAAGTCGTTTGCTTTTCGTTTCACTTTTAGTGATACAGTTTATAGGCTGTTATCGTTTAGCATAATATTTATTCAGCTGTGCATTAATATCATATATTTTAAGGAATAAGTATGATTATTGTTGGTACACATGCCAGCTTTTTTGGGCCAACATCAAATGTGAAAGAGATTGAAGCACAACCACGGAATATGGCATCAATCGCTATTATAGTAACGGAAGACACAAATTCTGAACCAAGCATGAAAGAAGAAACCAGCGCAATAAATCATGTGCGATTTGAAGATTACCACTGAACATAGAATCTTTATTTAAATTCTTGATTTGGATTTGGTTATCACTTATTTCATTTAACCGTTTAACCGTTATTTAGGTTAGGTTTTTTTTTTAAAATTATTTAATTACATAAGGGAACTACAAGCCATTAAATAGTTATTAATAAATCTTTTTTTTTGTCTTCTTTCTTCACCTCTAAGGGCAGATGCAAACTATCCTGGCAAGAACAATCTGAATCACTGCATGTTGACCATTGTTCTTTCTACATCGTTCATTGCCTTAAAAGCTTTTCGTCAACCCGTTTTCACGTATTTCCGCACAGGAATTACGAGTTCTTATTCTTGATCTTATTCTCCATTTTCTAGGGAATCTCTCATCTGGTCTTGAGAGAGTTATATACAGAGCAGATATTCTCGTAGATAAATGCTAGCTACTTTGCCTTTCAGTGTATTATTCCTGCTTGCATTTTACATTTTATATTCTGCTATGTTGCACAGTTTGTGAAGCTTTTTTCCACAATTTGAGTCCTATCTAATTTTATAGATTACTACTTCGGTGGATTGTATTGCTATGATCAACCCATTGCTATCTTTTAATTCGGTTTTCCAACCATTAGTAGGATTTCTCAATGTCAGCTATTTCAGTTATCTGTCGATGGTATGACCCGTGAAGGGTGTCGTTTTACTTTCTGCACACGATCTTTAACCAATTGTTTATAGATGTTCCGCGCATTCTCGCAGCAGCTCATTCTTTGGTACTATCTTGCTATATATATTCCTGAATGCCTCGAGTTTCGTTCAGGACAGTAGTTTTGACACTCACCAAGCCCTACCATTTTTTCTGCATAGTCTTTAGGTGTTAGATTCGAGTTGGAAATTTCTGTGAAAAATATTGTGCGGAGTTTTCAGGCCTTATCATCCACAGCTTCCATGCTTTCCTTTCTCCTTCTCACTATGTCATGAGTGGCAGAGCATACATGTCTACGACACTGGATCTTGTTTTTCCAATTCAATTAGCTCTTCAAGACCTTTTATTTTATCCTTTAGTTATGCTTAAGTTTTATTGTTGTTTCCATGTGATTGTGTGATACTTGTAGCTAATTTGCATATCTGCTATATGGCCTACTGGTAGGACTATCACATCAGTCATTTCTTCCTCTCCCTTTACTACCATTCGGCCACATTTCTCCAATAATGCTACAAATTCGTGTTAGGTGAAGGTATCATCTAAGTGAATGAGCGGATGGTTAATGGTAATTAATCAGTTCTTAAAATTATATCCATCCACTTATCCACTTTTTATAGTTATGGTTTTTTTATGGTTATGACTTGGATCTATGCAGAACAATAATGAGGCCAATGCGTCATATGCCGCAGATATCATTACTTGTGAAGTTTTGAATTAACTTCAAGCGTTATCTTCCACAGCCTTATTGAATTCTTGGTGAACATCGTTTGAATCTTGTTGACTTTCTATAGAACTAGTCATTCATAGATCCATGTATGGGAAACATAGTTTTCCTATAGCCAATCCAAGCTATGCACAGAATGGTTTGTCGGGACCTTGAGTATTCAGTGATTGCTTTATCTATAAGCAGCTAATGTATGGAACCTCTGGTGTAATGATATATTTTTGATATATACTCATGCTCATATGGTCTTGAAGTTTGATAGTTATGATGCCATCATGGAAAGAGGCAGATTATTGGTCAGTAGTTGGATGGTGTTGCTCCCTTATGAGGATCTTTCATGATCAATACCGTCCTTGCTTTTGTTAACGAATTTTAGTGAAATCATGCTATAAGCAGGTTGCTAGGCTTTCATCAACTGCTCTTTTAGTTTCTCTAGTACGTAGGTGTGGATCATGGCACCTGTCCAACTTTTCATGTTTTTCAACTTGTATTGGATGCCATGATGATTGGTTCCTTCTCTGGAAATTGCTGTGGTTTATTCTTAGGTCTTGCAAGCATTTTGCATTAGTCTTATGAATCTTTTTTATTTTCTCTTTTATTTTCATCTTTTCTTTTTTATTTTATTTTTTTCCTGGTTCTGCTGTTACCATATTGCTGCTCTGAAGTCGAAAATACAGTTTGGATCTTTCTTTAGAGAATTTTTTCAGAGCATTTAATAAATTTTAAATATTAAAAAGAAATCGCTTTCTCACTCCCTGTTGGTGATAGTGACCATTCTCAACCTCACGTCCTCTGCCATAGACCTAAGAGATTGGCTCCACTTATCTTAGCTACTCTTAGCTCTGATTTTTGATATTTTTCCTGGAATCTGTTGGAACCATTTTTCTAATTTAAGGGTCATAGCCCTTAGAGCTCTAACTACTACTGGGACTAGTTTGGTCTTCATTTTTTTTATTTTATATATTTTCGAAAGCGAATTTACATAAACATATAAAATGTACTGAATTTTGTGTTCTTGAACTGAGAAAAGAGCATAAGAAAGGTAAAAAACAAAGAATATGCAATAGCGAACGAATTAATTCCAAATATTCATTAAAAGATAAAATATATTCAAATGTGTAAATAAACCATGAGCTGCTGGAAGAAAGCTTGAAATATGTATAGACACATTGCAGAAAGACTAAACAGAGGAAATACCATGGCAAAGTACTATCCTCCATGGGATTTACCATCGACCGATAGCTAAAGTAGCTGACATTGAGAAATCCTACTAGTTATTGGAAAAAGCTGGGCTGAAAGAAAGCACTGAGACATTGATCAGATTTTAACTATCAAATCCATCAAAATATAATGAAGGATAATCAATCTGTTACACCAGAGCGGAACTAAGGTGCAGATTAGGCAAAAAGCCTCATAAACTATTCGGTAGCGGCAAGATATAAAATGAAGGAAACAACATCATACGCTATAAAGCATAACCAAATATTCTCTGCAGGAATATCAAAATATGGCCTAGACCATCCTATGACCAGATGGGAGAATCCTCAGAAAATCGTTGAGAATACTGAGGCTGATCTTGCGAGACTTCCTTACCCAGACAGACAAATAATTACTGGTCAATTAGGGAAAACATTAGTAGTCACCATGTCCCAATCAGATATTGTTATAATAGATAAGAACTAGTAATGGTGATGAATGTACCAATAAGAAGTGGCAGGGACATCAAGAAGAAAGAATGCGAGAAGCTAGAGAAATACTGGGAATGAAGAACTAGACATGGAAAGATGTGGATCCGGCAATAATAGGAGCAGTGACCGAAAGTAACTCCAACAGATTCCAAAAATAATTTAAGAGATCTTTGCCAAGAAGAGCGCACTGCTAAGCTACAAAACAGTTAAGAATCTGCATACCTTCATGTTCCTACGCCTTTGGCAAAAGATCCATTAAAAGTGATTGAAGATGACCCATACCACCCACAAGAGATTTTGAAAAAAAGGATTTTATAATATATATATTTGATTTATGAAAAATTAATTTTATTAATTACATAATGGTGATTGCAGCTAGAACTTTTATTTATGAGACTTCGTAGATGCGACTACAATAATTTTGTGGATTGTGGATTTTGGAGAATTTTACTAAATGCCTTTCGATAAAATCCTTATTTTCTAACAGAAATACATCCTTCAGTGACATATGACAAATGAAAATTTTTTCATGTGAATTCTGAAATAAATCACTTACTGGTTTTTTTTTTGAATAAATGGATAAAAAAAGGACTTTGTTATTATTATTTCTATTTTATTATATTTTTATTATTTTGGTGTTATTTTCAAATCACTTCAAAAATATTTATTATAGAATGCCTTAAAGGATACGGCAAATTCCTATTTCTATTTTTTTCACTGTTTGATTTGATCAAAGGAATATTTGTATTTTTATCAAAGGAATATTTGTATTTTTAAATTTTGCCTTTTGTAGTTTAAAAAATTTATTGAATCAAATTTCAAATTAAATCAAATTAAAGGAATTAAATAAGAAACGAGCATTAGTTCTGGTTATAAGCTACAAGAATAAATTTATCATTAAAATTTCCGCAGATCCACTTATACTTTTGTTTCGAAGTAATTCTTTGACAAAAATTTATTGTACCATTTCTAACCAACGCAGCAAATTTCAAAAGCAAATTTTTCTGGATTTTTTGCATTTACAGGTGAATAATTTCTAGTATTTTATAATTCAAAACGACAATTAAAAAATGGGTTTTATGATTTCAATTCACAAATAATACACAAAAACTTTATTCTGCCAACGACCTTCATCCCATTTTATTATTATTTAGCTGTTAGATGGACTACCAAAATATGATCAGAGGCAATTTTATTAGAGACAATTCTCCACGTTAGAAATATCAAAATATTTTTAATAAATTTATGAAAGTATAATAATTTATAATATTGTTTGTATGAGCAAGAAAGGACTTTAGGAAATTAGCACTCATCGTTTGTAGTTAAGGCATAATCAGCTGACTGGTAAAACGAGAGAGTCTGGTAATTTTGCCAGAGAGTCAACTAGACAATGGTCGTTGGCAGAAACGGATTCTTTGGATTCTTTAATGATAATCTTTTCGATTGATCGATTGATCAGTCATAGTGATCGGAAATGATAACGATAACCTGTACCTATTATTATATCCTTGATTTTTTTATAATCTTTATAACTTTATTCTGAATTTTAGAAAATAATGTTAAATATTATAATTTAAATTGTTTCCTCATTATTTATCTCATTTTATTAACTTATTCAATATCTTTATAGAAAAATGATGTTAATATAATTATAGCCAAACTATGCAAATTTTGTCCAAAAAAAAACTGCAAATTTTGTCGAAAATTTGAGTGATGATTGGATATGGATTTGCATCTGATAACGATCATCTTAGCTAAGTACTGATTAATATGCTTGAATGAAATTAAGAATTTCTACTAGGTTTTCGTCGGAAAAAATCGTTCTAAGCATTTTTTTCTCATTTGCATAAAATATATAAATAAATGTATAATATTTATAAAAACGAATGATAATCTTTCAAAAATTGCCGAAAAAAATTTT